AAACTTTATTTAGTATTTTTTATAGGGTCCAAAAATGCAGTATATGAGCAATATCTCCTATATACAGAATTTCTAAAGAATCAAACTTCTGATTCTGATTTTAAAAAATTATGCCAAGATCTTAATCAAGTCAAATATGGTCCTGTAAAATCAGTATCTGATTGGCAACATGTATAATAAAAATAAAATAAAAACAACTAAACTATTTTCTGCATTTGAGAAAATTTTTCTTCCCAAGTAAGTATATCTAACTTGAAACTATTATTTCTTGTTTTATTAAAGACATTTTGGAATTGGACCAGTAGTGTTAAAAGAAAGGCAAGAGAAATCTATGTACAGCACCATTTAACAGGAGGAGGCCTACCAATACCTACCAATAGTTTTAACAGATCTAGAAGAGATATTACTCCAAATTTTAGGAAAAATTTGTATCACAGGCCTTTTAAAAGTTTGTGAATTGGGACAATAAATAAGGTGATCTATTTAAAAAATTCGGAAGTATGAAACACATATTTTTTTTTAAAGCAATTTTATTGTCAAGTACATAATTTTCTTATGAAATAGTACATTATACACCTAAGGACTAAATTGGTTCTTTTAATCCTGCGACAAAACGTTTATACATATATACATAATTTGTCCAGGGGTTAAAAAACACTTTAGTCCTGAGGTGTATGCACTATTTTATGTAGGTACTTCAGAAGGATTAAAAGTACACTACCAATCCCTGTTTCATTTAATCCCCAGGAAATAAAGTAAAAATTTATATCCTTGGGAAATAAAGTGAAATTTAATCCCGGGGATTGGATGACCCACTTTATTCCCATAAAACAGGGATTGAAAGGCTACTCTTAATCCCTAAAGTGCATAAAACATATATTTTGTTGCTTGACATATAGGCTGTTCTGCCATAAAAACACACATACCTGTATATTTTTGTGAGTATACATATTTTCTAAAATATACCTTTATTCCTTAGAATTCAAATAATAGAGGACAATCACCACAGTCCTACAAAAAAAAATCACAAGATTACTTTCCCGACCAAGAAAACTAAGAAACAAAGGACATGGAAATTGGAGAAAACTAGCAAAATTTTAAACTGCTTCCCTAATTCTTATAAAAAATCATTAAACTCTTTCAGAATGCTGCAAGAAGCAGTACTTGAACTAACAAAGTCAATACACACATTATTAAATCTAAGTTAATTTATGTGGTAATGTGAAATTGGTAGTTAAAGTATTGCTTTTGAAAAATTATAATATAATGTAAAACAAATTCATGTGTATCATAGACATAAATTTAATGTATGTAAATTATTATAAATAAAAATACCATGAAACTACAAAAAATACAAAACATCATTGAAAAATAAATATAGATTCTTCTAGAAGTAATCCCTCACAATTCGGTCTCTAATGGACCTTCCCTCATTTAAATAATTTCTTCCTGCTCCCTGATAATGTGGGACAACACCTGCATCTTGATCAGTATTGCCATTAAATTCATTTTCAGGGACCAAATCCCTACGCCCTATAAAAATATTGTGTAGGATGCAGCAAGCAGATACTATTTTTGCAGCTTTCACAGGATCATAATGTAGTGTTCTATGTGAAAAGCAGCATGGAATTCTTGATTTTAGAATCCCTATTACTCGCTCAACTAAATTTCTAATAGTCTTAAAAGCATTATTAAACTGTCTTTGGTGCTCATTTAAATTTGCCCCTGGAAAAGGTGTAATAAGCCAGGGTTCAAGAGGGTATCCGCTATCTCCTAATAACCAAGATGACCTGTTCCCATCATTATAATTGTTAACTGAATGGTTTCGTATCGCACTATTTGCCCAAATTCCAGAATCATGAACGCTTCCGGGATATCTGGGATTAACTGCCAAAATCTTATAATCTGCACCACAAATTATTTGGGTATTGAGACTATAGTAGCCTTTACGGTTATAAAATAAGATTCCTGGAAAGTGCTCATGTTCAGTAGGCGGAGCCTGAATCCGAATATGAGTTCCATCTATTATTCCAATAATTCCAGGAAGCACACCACCATAGGTTTGAAAAAAAAATTCTTTCTCTGTCGCTTTTTGAGCATCAGTTACTGGAAATTTTATTTCATGATTAAATTGATTGATCAAGACATCAGTAACCAAATCAATGCATCTACTTACAGATGACTGACTCATAGGACAGTTTATGTCTTGACACACACCCTTTTGATAGCTCCCTTGAGCATAAAAGTGCATGGCACACAACACTATTAATGGCTTGGGAATGGCTTGTCCCCTCTCCTGTTCTGGCAAGTATGGACTGATTTCATCAATCAAAAATTGGGCAGTTTCTTTTTCGCATCTGTAAATGTTCCGAAAAATGTGTTCTGGAAGGTCCATTGGATTTGAAAAGCTTCGTAAGTTTTTCTTTAGGCGATTATGTTCGAGGCTGGAAATTTGTAAGTTAAACAAGTCCTTATCACCTCTACTGTATGTAAGGAAAGATATTTGAAAGCTTACATTTTATTTTCGTTCACCAATGCCCTGATTAACAAGAGGAAATTTAGTATCTCTGCCATTTTTTAATTTTCAGCAGCTAAAAAAAAAAAATCTAGGTTATGTTTGGACGTTTGGTTGCCCTATCCAATCTTGAAAATAGGGCCTGAAGGACTTGTTTCATAAATCGAGAAACAGAACACTGAAATTGAAAAAAAGTTTACAATCTGAATAAGCATATTGAAAAATATTAGATATCTAAAATTTATCCAGTGACCTTGTAAGATTTTCAATAATTGGTTATTTGAGAAGACTCTGAATAGAAATCCGCCATTTTTATTGGATATTTATCAATATCCAATAACCAAGGACATTGTGAATAAGGCTGAATATCGTCAGTATAATAATTGCAAAATTTAATTATATGCTGCTAATAATAATAATACTCCTATCCCTACTTTTGGGTTAAAAAATTTTACTGTCAGCCTGAGTTTAAAAAGAAATTTCACCTGGCCTTACGTAATTGCTAAAACTGACACTGCAATTTTAGGGGCTGATTTCCTAGGTCACTTTCGGTTAATAAAAGATCTTCACGGTAAGAGAATTATTGACCCTTAGTATTAATTTGTCTTATCCAGGGAAGCTCAAACTCTCTTCAACCACATCCATATTGACTATTGCCACTAATTGCAAATATTTTAATCTTCTTATTCTAACATTACAAAATTGTTTAAACTTGATTGTCCTACCCCATATCAAACGAGCCATATGGTTATAACGGAGGGACCACTGGTCGTGTCTAAAGCTCGTCGTCTTCCTGCGGACAAGCTCGCCATTACTTAAATTTAAAGCTTTGTCTACAAATTATGTTATAATTTGTTTTGACAATAAAGCATTATTATTACTAAACAGGAATTTCAAACCTTGCTGGATCAAGGAATTTGCCGTCCATCTAACAGCAACTGGGCAAGCTCCCTACATTTTGTTAAGAAAAGATCTTGTTGGGGACTACCGCAGTCTCAACTCTGTCATCCGATCTGACAACTACCCTGTGCCAAATCTTCAAGATTCCAACCAAATTTTTCATGGTAAAACCATTTTCAGCACTTTAGATCTTGTTAGGGCTTACCACCAGATACCAGTTGAACCGGAATCGATTCCCAAGACTGCTATCATCACACCTTTCGAGTTATTCCAATTCAGCCAAATGCAATTCGGGCTCCGTAATGCAGTTCAATCATTCCAACGCTTCAGTCACGAAGTCCTTCGTAACCTTGACTTTTGCTTCTCATAAATCGATGATATCCTTATTGCTTCTTTAAATCCAGGATCACCTTCGACAAGTTTTTGATCGCTTGCAACAATATGGCCTCACTATCAACCTTGAAAAGTGTGTTTTTGGTACGAGCTCACTTCAATTTCTAGGATACGAAATCTCTTCGGAGGGCTCTAAACCACTCCTAGAACGCGTATCAGCCATTCGTAGTTACCCTCTCCCTAAATTTGCATGTGATTTACGACGTTTTCTTGGCATGCTTAATTTTTACCGCTGTTTCATTACCCTTGCTGCTGAGCATCAAGCCATTCTCCATGTGATGCACAAAAACTGTAAAAACTCTGACCCTTAGTTTGGGACCCAGAAGCTTTATCTGCTTTCGAAAAATCAGAAAATTATTTAGCCAATGCAGCCTTGCTTGTTCACCCTCTACCGTCTTCCAATCCCCACTAGCTCTTACAGTTGACGCTTCCAATTCAGCTATGGGTGCTGTTGTCGAACAATGCGAAAATGAAACTTGGAAACCTCTCAGTTTCTTTTCACGCAAGTTCACCCCTAGCGAGATCAAATACAGCACCTATGATCGTGAACTGTTGGCAATGTACTCTGCCGTAAAATATTTCAATAACCTGTTAGAGGGTCGCAGTTTTCACATATTTACAGACCACAAACCTCGCCACAAAATCCGACAAAACCTCACCACGGCAAACACGTCACCTTGATTTCATTTTCCACTAATATAGTTCACATCAGTGGCAAAAATAATGTCCTGGATCAATACCATCAATTTACCAGATGCAATCAATTATGATGATTTCCAGAAACATCGAAAAGAGGACCCCAAACTTCAAATAATGCTTCAAAACCCCGAATCAACTTCTCTATCTCTCAAAGATAGTGCACGTATGCAGACTCCTCTACAGTACTTTTTTGTGATTTCAGTCAAGGACACAATAGACCCTTTGTACCTTTGAACTTCAGACAACATACCTATTTTTAAAAAACTCCATAATCTTTATCACCCATTTCGCCAATAAGCAGAGCCAGATTATGCCAATCGTACCCATTGCTGGGTGTCGAGCTAAGGATGACCTGTTCTCTTGTGAAGGGGCACAAGTAGCCCAATGTGGCCTAAGTGCTGTGGCATACCAACCACTCTCCCAAATTTACAGATACAGTGCAGTTCATAAAAAAAAATATACATATTTGTTTGGTTTGGGTTAATTTGCATTTTTAATTATTAGTTATTTGTGGATAGTCTGCCAGGCTCAAAAGTCTTCATGATGTACAAATGGGTCTTGCAATTCTCTCACAGTCTTCCTTATTGGCAAACCTGTTTGGAGAACCGTTACAATTAAAATGAACCCATTCGATACATTTTTCGCGTCGGTTGTCCCATATCCAAACATCATAGAAATATTTGTAGTTAGCTCCTGGGCATTCTAATGGTTTGCCAATAAAGGTGTCGTGTTTGCAATCTGAAACAAATCTTTTTTTTTTTTTTGGTTTTGGGAATTATGTGTAACCAATCACTTTTTATTTTATTGAACTCAAAAATTGGATACTTGGATGTTGAAATCAACTTGTGAGTGTCTGGTTGTTACCTAGCAGGTACTTTCTATGCAATAGAGAATAGGAAGTACCTGCTAGGTAACAACCAGACACTTACCAGTTGGTCCATAATTTGGCCCTTAGGCAATGTCTCGGTACCTACCATTTTTAGAAAATGCATTCATTGCATTGATAAAATCCTTGGTACAGATAGGTCTGGCGACCCTTTCACAGTCTAACCTCGATGGAAAGTTGTTTAAAGTACTGTTGCAACCTCCATAAGATGCCTCAATGCAAAGTTTTTTTTCGTTGTTCCATGTAAACCGTTTTGATTTTGATCCGCAGGATACCCGTTCATGATTTTCATTGCAATCTAAAACGATTTTAATAGGTATATAACTGAACTCTTTAATTTCATTAAATTAGTTAGTGGAAATATATAATACTTTAAATTTTACCTGTTTTCGTGAACCCTCTGCTCATATATACACATATTGACAAAAAGACAAGTAAACCAAGTTTGGGAAACATTTTATCTAGTTCAACTGTGAACCATCGACAAGTCGCTTCGAATTAATTTTAAATTAATAATTTTTTTCCTTTAAATATCGAAATATTTATTATTACAATAATTTTGAACAATAGGTACGATTATGATTTCAATGCTTATCTGGCTATAAAAATTGGCCGCAGGAAATCGATAATAAATGATGAAACACCTACAACAAAAAACATAAAAAATAAGGAGAAAAGAAAATGATACGGGTAAAAATAAGAAAGACATATCAGCTATCATATCCTGGTTATTCCAGGGGCCTTATTCGGTAAGGAACGAACCATTCGATTCGGTAGAATTTCTTCGATTGTTACGTCATTTTCGGTTTGCTTTTCGCGCGACCAAACTGAAAATGACGTCACAATCGAAAAAATTCTATCGAATCGAACGGCTCGTTCCTTACAGAATAAGGCCCCAGGATAGAACACAACTAATAGAAATAATAGACGAGAACTTATTTGACAACGTGGATCTAATATGTGGCCACAGAACAGAAAGTGACGTTTTACAAAAACTGGTCTTAAACTGGTTCATAGAACTGGTTGACATCAGACCTAGAGTGCGTTCAAGGACGGCAATGCAATGCTAATGCCAAAACCTACCTTTCCCCTTCTACCGGCGATGCCAAATCAAATTGGTGTGAATTTGCTGGAACGCCAAATGCCGTTTCTCAATGGACCTTTCTCATGCAATGAACAACAAGGATAGTTTATTAAGATTTCTGCAATAAAGAAAAAGACACATATAATGACGCACGATACCTGTGTGGGATGACTTTGATTGGTTCCACTTGTCAAATTGTGCAATTTCGGTTATGTTTCTGTTTTTGTTTATTTTTAAACGTAAATATGACAAAAGACGTATTAACATTAATTAGAAAGACCACCGCAGCAAAAATGTTTGCAGCAAACCTTTAATTGTACATTATTAATTTGTATTTGATTTAAAAATCGTTATTTTACGAACCCGAAAATCTCTGTCCCAACTTAAATCGTCTTCATTCGGGTTGAGAGCACGTAACTATTGTTTTCTTACAATTTGATCGCTTAGGAACTTGTGAAAAGAAAGGTTTGACTTCTTTTTCGCCTAATTCTGACAAGAACTCATCCAACTCATTTGAACCATTGTATCATAAATAGTTTTTGTGATAATTTTCAGCAATATTGGTTGATACTGATTGATTATTGAGGTTAGCTTAAATACGTCAGGGTCAGACCGTGTTCAGTAAATTGACGATTTAATTATCTGTCACCCACAAGATGCGCGCGCAGCACAGGTAAAATGAGAAAGGTCCACCACATTCAAGATGGCGTGGCGGCCACACATGGACCAAAAAACACAAAAAAATATCTAGTTTCTGCCCGACTTAGGGCGGGTATTATAAAACTACTTTGAGAGTTAACTTCTGGAATTACATGTGATTCAAAAAGTTAACTTCAAGTTAACTGTCAAAGCAGTTTTATAATACCCGCCCTTAATAGTTTTCTTACCTAGTGAACAAATATTTTATGGACTAATCAAAATCAAAGTTGTAAGCAAAACTCGAAGCAAAATAATTTTATTAAAATATGCATGAAAACACATTATTCAAAACTTACCTGCTGGCCGCCACGTCATATTGAATTTTTCGTTTTCAGATCATCAGCGAAGTATTTATCTATTCGCCACTTCCACTTCCGTTCTAGAAGCTTTTTGTATTGTATTATTATGTGGTGTTTACTTGTGCCAAAAGTGGCAGACCCCACTTATCCAATCAAAATTCGTATAACCATTTCTAGACTCAGTTGAAAGTACCTCCAAAAGTTACTTTACCACGGCCGATTTTGAACGTGTAAAGCCAACCGTTTTTCGCACGCTGGAGCCGAACTTGAACGCAATATGCCAATTGTGGCTTGGCTTTAGCCGTTTTTGAACGCAGCCCTGGTGTCCTGATGTTGCCACCATGTACTACATAACACATTCAATAACTTACTAAAGTGCATTCCACGAAACGACATAGTAGAGGTAAACAAACAGGCGGAGCTTAAAAATTCAGAGAAGGACTGCAAAAATATAAATTACAACTAATGACATTTATTATTGTCAGGTTGTCATATTAGTCAATAAGTTTAATGTCGTATTTTCTAGTATTTTAAAATTATTTAAATAGTGTTTGGTGAATTATTATTAATTAGTGAGCAATTTAGATTAAAACAATATCAAATTCAACAGAATCCGTTGAAGAATTCGTTCGGAAATATATTCAAAGAGAAATACAAAACAACCTAAGACGGTCCTGCCTAGGGCGGAGTATAATTTTCTAGCCAATACAATTCGACTTACCTGTCAAAGTTTGTTTACTTTCACTATCTCGTTTCGTGACTAGAACTAAAACAATACTAATTATCTCACATAGGCCTCTTCCAATAGTTTCGAAAAAGAATGTTGATAATATATTCTACTTTTATTTTACTCTGTTGTTGTCCATCTTTGGATATACATACTTTTTCCAATAGTTCCAATTCTCACCAGCAAACTCCATTTTGAGTCACTCAGTATAATGCTTCGGTTAGTTTGAGTTCGTCGATCCATCTCATCTGTGGGTTGTTTCTTGATCTATGCCCAGTATTTAGTTCATTTTGTATGGTTATTGCTTCTTAGGTGGAGTGGCATCTATGCTAGCTTTATTTTGAGTGCTCTACCTCTACCTCTATTTTCTTAATTTTATCAGATTCTGTCTTATGTGGATAGGTTTTCTTTATCCATTGGATTAGCATAACTCAGCTTGAAGCAACTTTTTATTTTGATTATAATTAAATTAATAATTTATTAATTCGAAATCCATAACTAAACTTTAATTTATGATGTTGTAAAGTTGAAATTTTGCAACCTTTAAGAGTGGTCGTTGGATTAAAATAAATTTTTCACATAGAAGCGAAATTAATTGGTTCGATCTTTAAAATTTTACATGATCCGAGTTCAAACCATAGAGTAAATGAAGTAGATGTACCTACCTAATTGAAACGATAACTTAGGTAAAATATATAGGCTTAAAAAATGCAAGATGATTATAGATTGTCATTCGAAAATCTTAAAAAGATATATTCATTTCGTGTCCCTATATTATCAATTATGGTAAAAATTTCTTGGGTTTAAGGACGGGGAGGTAAACCAAAAGAAACTTCTTAGCTTTCGGCGACGTTTCGGAACTTTATTTTTCCTTTTTCAAGCCCTGGAACAGGAGAAATAAGGCACATGAAAGGGAAAAACGGAAGGAAAAATAAAGTTCCGCATCCTCGCCGAAAGCTTAGTAGTTTTTTTGGTTTACCTCCCCGTCCTTAAACCCAAGAAATTTCTACCATAACTTGAAAAGATAGATAGGAAGGCCCCTCGATGATAATCTGCGAAAAATACCATTCGTTATAACATGCAAAACGATAATATAAAATCAAATTAAAAACTAATAAAAAAAAAAATTGGTGCCGCATATAGCAACTTGGTCAATGGATACTAAACAAACGAATTTACGATTGGATTATGGTACTTACCAGTGTGGCACACTGGGTTACCTGTTATACCAATGCGAAGGTGTTAAGTCTATAAATTCGAGATTTAACATTAATTTTAAATCTAATCCGGTGAAACGTATGAGGCCGCGATGGCTAATAAAGACATGTAGTTTAGGTTTAGGTAGTTGTCTGAGGTGAGAGGAGTGCCATTTACATTAGAGATAAGCGCAGCTAATTACATTATAACATACAAGTGTTCTTTTATTTGTAAAGTAGACAATGAAGATGAACCAATTTCTCATTCATCAGTTATTGGTTGCTGCATACCAGTTTTGGGCTTGTTAGCTTTCATCAGTGCAACATAAGCAAAAGCATACCATGTTTTTTTTTTTTTTGTCCTGGCTAAATGATAAAAATTTTGGTTAGTAGGAAAAATTTTGTAAATTTTATGTTCCATTATTTTTCTTAGTGCATCTTCTGGATTCCCAGATCATGATAGGAAAGGGTTGATCCTACATGGCGGATCTGTGAATGGTAGGCTTAACGTCGCTGCCTTAGATTTGGTTTCCTGGGAGGGGATGTCTTGAAATCGGCGGGGCTGGTGTGTGAGATTCCCTAATTAGGGGGTTGTAGAAGTTGGAGCCTTCGTAGAACTGTGTTAGCTGGCCGATGGTCTTGTTTCTTGCGTATTTCACTTGGAGTCTCCAGTTCAAGTGGCAATCATAGATGATTCCTAGGTATTTTACGTGAGATTTCCAGGGTAGTTCCGCGTTCTTCCATTTTAATTTCTCTGCTGGTGGGTGTCTCCTCTTCTTGGAGAACCAGATGGCTTGGGTTTTCCTTGGGTTGACTTGGAGGTGCCATCTGTTCATCCAGGTTTCGAGGCTGTTGAGGTGTCTTTGGAGGCGACGTCTTGTTATGGGGCGGGTAACTATCGCTGTGTCGTCGGCATATGATAGTAGTGCAGTTTCTTGAGAGGTGGGTAAGTCAGCCATGAAAAGGTTGAACAACAGTGGGCTGAGCGGTGAGCCCTGTGGGACTCCGGCTAGGACTGGTCTGGTTGTCGAGCATGTTTCGTTAGCAGAGTGGCTGTTGATTGTCACCCTGAAATTCCTATCGGTCAGAAAGGAGCGTACAAATTGGATTTGGTACCGTGGCATGTTTAGTCGCAGCATCTTTAGTAAAAGTCCTTGGTGCCACATTTTTTCGAAGGCTTTTGCGATGTTCAGGAATATAACCCCAGTTTCCATATTCCTGTTGAACCCTTGAAATATGAGGGAAGACAGTCCAGTGGTTTGGGTCGTTGTTGAATGCCCGCTCCTGAAACTCATTTGTCCGTCGGGGATTAGAATTAGTGTGTCGACTGTGTTTTGGAGGTCCCATTTTAGAGCTCTTCCGGCGACTTTCCCAAGTGCAGGGAGCAGGCTGATGGGACGGTAACTTTTGGTGTTGTTGCTGGATTCTCCTTGTTTTCTGATCAGAATGATGTTTGCCGTTTTCCAACTGACGGGGAAATGGCCCAGGGTGAAAATGGCTTGTATTATACGAGTGAGGTCCTCTATTTGTTTTTGAGGAAGTTTCCTCAGCGCCATGTTAGGGATACCGTCCAAACCAGGGGCGATAATTTGTCTTGTCTGGTCGGTGTTGAAGACTGGAGGCTGATGGTCTTGAGGTTGATTTAGTGCGAGTTGGATTGTCTCGTCTACATTCTGGTCCTGGTCTTGGTGACGCGGAGGGTTGGAAGTGAACTGCTCTTGAAAGCTATCGGCAAAGGCTTCTACCTTAAGTGCAGGGTCGTCTATGGTGATATTGCCGACTTTAATACTAGGCATGAGACGGCGGGGGCCTTTTGTTAGGTTTCGGCCTAATGTGTAGAGGTCCTTGCCTAGTTGTAGCGTCTCGTCGAGTATTTCCTGCCAATGGTTGTTATAGGCGTCCGTGGCTCTCCTTTTGATGTCCCTAGCTATTCATCTGGTTGACCCGCCGTT